TAAATCAATTTCCGAAATGGTTGTACCATTTTACATTCCCACCAACAGTGTATAAGTGTTCCAGTCTCTCCACACCCTCTCCAACATTTATTATTTTATGTTTTTTGGATTAATGCTAGCCTTGCTGTGGTGAGACGGTATCTCATTGTAGTTTTGATTTGCATTTCTCTAATGGGCAGCTGAACTCTTAACCACTACACCACCAGGGTTTCCACACCTGGACTAACAGCCTTCAATTTGGCCTCGGCCTTAGGTGCAGAGACACCAATATTGAAGCTAGCCTTCAAAAATACAAATCTGATCATTGCACTATTTGCTGGAAATCCTTTGCTGGTTCACCATGGCTTATGTTATACATTCTTTAATTGGGCCTTCAAAGACCTTCATTATCTGGCCCCAATCCACTTTACTTACCTTATGCCTATGCTCCCTATTATCCACCCTACACTCCAGTCAACTTCTCCCATTTCCCCCAACGCTTCCTTTTATTCCACACCTTTGCAATATTCTTACCTCTGCTTGAAATGCCTTCCTGTGATCTCAACCTTCAAGACCCACCTTCCCACTTCCTCCTTAATTCCTTCTAGATAGTATGTTCTATTTTATCTGTGCTTCTAGACAATTTTATTCTTCCCTAGGTTCACTATTTTTTACACTATATTAATGAATTCTCACCTTTCTGGGATTGATTCCCAGCCAATGCACCTCATGTGCAGCCACCACCTATCTGTCAGTGAAGGCTGTATGTTGCTATGATGCCGAACAAGTTTCAATGGAGCTTCCAGACTAAGATGGATAGGAAGAAAGGCCTGGTGATCTACTTCGGAAAATCAGCTAATGAAAACCCTGTGGATCACAACTGATCGGGGGATGGTACAGGACAGGGCAGCATTTTGTTCCATTGTGCATGGGATACCACGAGTCAGGGACTGACTTGATGGCAGCTAACAACAACAGTTGTTATATGACTGCCACTATCAACAAGCTAAAGGTCAGGAGCAGATGCCTTCTCATTATGCTGAGGGAATTTAGTCAGTCACAAAAGGACAAGTATTGTGTAAGACCACAAATATAAGAACCCAAGAAAAGGTTTAAACACAGAAGAAAACATTCTTTGATGGTTACGAGGGTGGGGAGGGAGTGAGAAGGGTATTCACTAGCCAGAGAGTAGACACTACAGGGGAAGGCAGCACAACTGGACTAAACCAAAGCTAAGAAGCTTCCTGAATACAACCAAACACTTTGAGGGAGAGAGTAACGGGCGGGGGTCTGGGGACCATAGTTTCAGGGGACATCTAGGTCAACTGGCATAACAAAGTTTACTAAGAAAGTGTTCTGCATCCCATTTTGGTAAGTGGCGTCTGGGGTCTTAAAAGCTAGCGAGTGGCCATCTAAGATGCATCAATTGGTCTTAACCCACCTGGAACAAAGGAGAATGAAGAACACCAAAGATACAAGGAAAATATGAGCCCAAGAGACAGAAGGGTCACATAAATCAGAGACTCCATCAGCCTAAGACCAGAACAACTAAATGGTGCCCGGCTACCACCAACGACCGCCCTGACAGGGAACACAACAGTAAGTGCAGCAGGAGAAAAGCGGGGTGCAGAACTCAAATTCTAGTCAAAAGACCAGACTAAATGGTTTGAGACTGGAGGGACCCTGGAAGACATGGCCCCCAGACTGTTAGCCCAAAACTAAAACCATTCCTGAGGCCAACTCTTCAGACATAGACTGGACTCCAGGTGCTCCTTGGAAACCCTATGGGGCAGTTCTATTCCGTCCTACAGGGTCACTATGAGTTGGAATCAACTCGATGGCAACGGGTTCAGGTTATGGGACATGAAATGATACTCGTGAAGAATGTACTTCTTAGCTCAAGGAGATACATGAGACTAAATGGGCAGCTTCTGTCCAGAGGCGAGATGAGAAGGCAGAGAGGGTCTGGAGCTGGTTGAATGGACACGGGAAATCCGGTGTGGAAAAGAGGAGTGTACTGTCACATTATAGGGAGAACAACTATGGTTACATAACAATGTATGTATAAATTTTTGTATGAGAGACTAACTTGAATTGTAAACTTTCATTTAAGGCACACACACACAAAAAAGAGTGGATGCCTTCTCTTAATATATCTAAGCAATTCGTTTATTCATCCGATCATTAAGTGTCTACTTTGTGCCAGGTACAGTTCTAGGTGCTGAGGATAGAGGAGCAGTAAAGAAAACAGACAAAATTCCCACCGCCATGAACCTTACTTTCTAGTGGGGGGAGACAATGAACAAGGCAAATTACATGTTAGATGGTAACTAAGTACCGACCGTGAAGAAAAATAAAGTAGGGAAGGGGGAGAGGAAGTTTGGAGGGGGTTGTGAGTTTACATAGGGTGGTCAGAAGTCTTACTGAGAAGGTAACAATAAAGAGCTGAAGGAAGTGAGGGAGGAAGCCACGTGGATAGCTGAAGGAAGAATGACCCACAAGGAAGGAAGAGCAAGTGAGAAAACCTGAGCAGACACACACTGGGTGTTTGAGGGACAGTAAGGAGGCCAGCATGATAGAAATGGAGTGAGTAAGGAGGAGAGCAGTAGGAACCAAGGTCAGATAGCAGTGCCAGATCCTATATGTGATTATGACTTTGCTCCAAGTGAGATGAGAAGCCATGGGCAGGTTTTAAGAAGAGAAAGAACAGATCTCACTTATGTCTTATCAGGATCTGCTGCGTTGAGAACAAACTTACGTGGGAGAAGGCAAAGGCTGAAACTGAGAGACCAGTTACAAGATTACTAGAATAAAAACGTGAGATACAAAAGCCATACTGAAGTGGTGGCTTAGACAAAGGTGGAAGATTTGAAGATGTTGAGAAGGTGTAGGATTCTGAATACATATTTTTAAAGGCAATAGAATTGGCTGACTGGATATGGAGTAAGAGAGAGAATTTGGGTGAGGGGAATTCAGAAGCTTGATTTTGGTGTAAGTTTGAAACATCTGTTAGACATCCAAGTGACTGTCTACTTTTCAGTTGGATATATGATTTTAGAGTTAGGGGATGAGTGCAAGAAGCAAATGTAAATTTGGGAGTTGTCAGTGTAGAAATGGTATTGAAAACGGTGGCACTGGAAGAGATCACCACATTTTACATGCTCTCCTCCCCACATTCCTTGGTATCCCCAAGCCCAGTACTTCCCTTACATGTCTTTCTGAGGCCATGCAGTCTAGTGGAAGAGGGCTAGAGCTTTCTTGACTTCTTAACACATTCACACCTATACGCTTATAATTTCTAGTGCTTCATGCTTTGGGCCCACAAGATGGAGACACAATTTTAATTAGAGGTTTTCAAATTAGGCTTAAGAATGTTAGTTTTCTCATCTCTATACACATTCTTTTAAAACACAAGTCAAAGAAAAACAATAATAAATTAAAACTATTTAAGTTTTTCCACAAGGAATTCTGTGAGCAAAATGACTTATTGGCTAAAGTTGCTTGAAAATGAACACACAGAAAATGGTGATAGAAGTGTTCAACATAGGAGAATACCCTCAAGTATTCCTGCACCTAGTAAAGATATAAATCTCTTTAGAGATTTCATTTGCCTCAAATGAGACTCCAGGAGATGCTAGGAGTGGCTTAAGGTTGGGGAGATGGCCTTTGGGAAAGAACTGTTGGTAGTTGGTAGTATTTCATTCATCCCACAGAGCTGAACTCCTCCTTCGGCAGCATACACCATGGATTTTCTTCTCTCTGGGAACCAGAGGTCCCTTCATTTCTAGTCTGGACTCCCTTAGAGACAAAGAACTTCATTCTCTCCCATACTAGTGTGGACTGCTGGGGTGGGTAGGGGGTGAAGGGGTTAGAATTCTAATCCCATGAAACACCCACACACAGGCTAAAACAGGAGGCTGAATCTTGACTCTGGTCCAGGAGGCGTAAGGGGCTGCGGGAACTGTGAGGCCTCCGCCCCCCCACCCCGCCTCGCGTGGGCCTGGCCTGTTGCCAAGGTGCCGGGGAAAGAGGCCGCTCAGTACACTTCCACGAACGGCGCATTCCCCTTCTTCCCTCTTTACTCCATCATTCTCTCTCGCTTCGTTTTCCCGGGGAGCCTCCGCATTCTCCATCTACCCGTTGCCGCCCTCGCCTTTTCTCCCCTCCGCTGACCCTCCCCCAACTTGCCCCTCCTTCGGCAGCCCACCTTCACCCAGCTCCTCCGTCGGCTCTCGGTCCTCGCCCCTTATCCCCGGCCTCCCCTCGCCGGCCCCCCGCGCCCCGGGCCCCTGCAGGCCCCCTCCCCGCCCCCCTCGAGGCGGCAGCGGCCCCTTTCACAATAGCGTGGCCCGCCTCCCTCCCGTCGGCTCCCGGTTCACTCCCGCCTGCTTCTCTCCTGGCGCATGCGCCCTTCGGTCGCCGGCGGCTGCGGCGGTGGCGGCTACGAGCGGCTCCGTTTTTTTTAAAGGGAAACGCTGAGGCGCCGGGGGTGACTGTGGGGGAGGGGGACCCCGAGCTGCGGAGACCCCCGGGGGAGGCGACAGAACCCCCCCCTTGCCGGAGTAGGAGGGCTTTGGGCGGACCCATCGCCCCACCCCCTCCTGAGGAAGAGGGGGGGAAAATGGAGGCTCGGGGCGG